TACTCAGTTTTTGACATTTAGCATACAAATACGAAACTGAGTAAGAGTTACTCACTTTTGAGTAAAATTGAAGGAGCGTGTAGTGCCTTTCGGTGAGCTGTCAATTGACGCTGGCAGGACCAAAAGAAATACAACATCTGGAAACACTGCTCTCATCGTCGTTGGTTGGCCTCACCGTTATTCTTCCTCTTTCTTCAACTGGCCATCAGACAGGTTAGACGTGGTTAGCGGTCCTCTGTTGTCGCGGGACAATTCATGCGTGTGGTCAACGAGCGGAACTTCACAATGGCGATCCTGCCAGGATAGTTGCTACCTAGCAACTGCAAGGTGAACGAAATTGGATACCGCATGAATTGTCCAACAAGGTGGAGTAAGAAAGTGTAGAAACAGTGAAAAAAATGAAACCTGAAGCTGTAAAGAAACGTCCAGAACTAACCGGCAGCCATTTTGCTTCGTTTTTTCACATCGCACGTGTTTTTTTTTGTGGGGCCGCCGAAAAAAACTACCGTTTGAAGGAAGAGATTAGCGCGTGCTGCTGATAAAGTGAGACGGAACATATAAATATCTACACAGAAAAACAAAACTACCCACCGCTTGGGTTTTTTAAACTCAAATTTGAGTTATTTGACCTCTGCCCGTTTCATTTCCTCTCGCTATTGTTGTCAAAAATAGAACGAAAGATTCGACTCAACCGTCTAGTTCCGTACGAGAAGCCATAATTGAGTAATATGCGATATACCCAAATTTGAGTTAATTGAACTTAATTTTAGGTAGAAAATTGAAATTGAAATTGAAAATAACTTAGCGATGGGTAATTTTTTTTGCCGTGCTTAAATGCAAACTACTTTGAGCCGGTTTACCCAAATTTGGCTTATCGTACGGAACATGGGAGATGAGTGAAAAGAACTTAATTTTGGGTGGTTTTGAATTTCTGTGTAGTTGAAGTTTTTTTTTTCATGTGTTTTGTTGTTTTGGTGGGAAGCAGTGTAGCTGACAAAGCAGACGAACGCTTGAGTGCACGTTTATTTCATTTCATTTCTTCTTCTCTGGTTTACACACCAGATCCGCGTTCAAGAAAATTAATTTTGTTCTTAATGAAATTATGTTTCCGGTATGCGTCGTCGCGTTTTCTTTTTTACTGACCGTTCGGATCCGGAATCTACAAATATCTGAGTGTTGTGGATAGTTTAGACAAAGAGTAGTACAGGAAGTCTACTCTGAAGACGAGAGTCTGCAACAAGGTGGGACGCCTAGTAGAGACAAGTGGTTCGGGACGGCCAATATTTGCCACGGTTTGGGACACCCGGTGAAAAGACTAGCTTCCAATCCTAGGTCACGGAGTGAGACACCCGGTTGAAGGATTCGAATAAATAGCGAGGTGAGACAATATTAGTGAGTGGTGTGGGACACCTACTCGAATGTATATTTGTCATGGAGAGGGACATCCAGTGAAAAGATCAATTTTAAACCTTAGCCGCGGAGTGAGACACTCTACTAAAGATTAGCTTAGAGCAAAACGGAACGTTCGTAAATTGTCTTTGCCACTGCGTGGGAAGATCGTAAAAATCATTGCCGGCGAGTGGGACGCTTTACGGAGTGATCGATATAGTTTTCTGCACGATGGTGAGACGCCCGTGAGAAAAGCAATACTTTTCCTAAAATAAGAAGCATGCAGTTTTGCAGTATTACGGAAACACGTCAGAGCTACATCGAATAGAGGTGATGACGATGAAATCTCATCTTATCATTCATACTCTAATGAAGCAGAGTAAAAGGACCTTTCGAGCGGCGAGGAAGGATCCGATGGAACTGAAGGAGTTCAAGCTCAGGCTGTGATAGCGCGTTAACTTCCGACGGAGTTTCTCGTTGCAACGGTTGAGGAAAACGCAAACGAGACTGAAAACACGACCCCTTTCGGGGCACCATATACCGGCACTAATTCGAGTTGCGGGAATGGTTTGAAGGCGGTGACTGCTACCCCAGGTGAGCCTTTCGACACGAACGCCAGACTGGACGTTATGCAGATGGCACTGATTTACTTGGCACAGATAGTTCATGAGAAGATAACCGCGCAACAAGATCCTCTCACTGTGGACCAAGTGACCAAGCCTCCCCTACAGTAGCCATGATTAATCCACCTGTCCGGTTTGCCAACATTCTGCGTTTCCCGAAGGCTGTGAAAGTAACAAGCATGTTGGAGGCATTCACGATATATCTCGTGAAGTTCGAAATTGCAATCCCCCTCAATGGTGTGACAAACTCTGCCCAACAGGCCCAATTGCTCTACTTGGCCCTTGGAAATGATCCGCGCCGCAGACCTCCGCCCGAATACCGCAGATCCAGACTGCTACAGACGGATGGTAGGTAACATTTCAAGCTACTTCCGCGCGCTGACGGACGTCAGTCCTAAGCACGACAAATTTACTGCCATGAAACAGGAACGTGGAGAATCAACAGTAACGTTCCATTGCCAGATTGGTATCGCAAGTCCGGTTGTGCAAATACATCGAAGAGGACCAAATCCGTTTTGTAAGGTCCCAACTATGGACGTTTTTATTATGAGACCAAAGCTTTGACCACCCGTTTAGCAGCGCTTGTATCTCGCATAAATTTACATGAATTTTTCGAACGGTGTAACGTGCCCGCAGCATTCCGAGAAGGAGAAAAGTTTCGGCTCCAAGAAACGGAGAAGAGAGGTATCATCAAGGGGGTGACTCTATCTACGATGAAGGATTTTTTTTGTTTTGCTGTGGTTAGCTGCGAGCACCCTTAATAACTAGAACGAAGATTGATGACAATTCTGAAGATTTCCTGCAAAAATATGAAGAAGTACGATGCAAATAGATGCGAGAAATGAAAGAAGATTTTTCGTAGATTGATTCGCTAGTGTGAGATTTTTCGAGCATCTAGAATTGAGATTTAGATGTAACGCCCCCTCGGGTATCATAGAGAAGGTGACCTCAGCACCGGGATGGATAAGCGGGATGTCAGCAGTTGCGAAGGGCAAGGACAACTTCAGATTAGTTGTGAATATGCGAGGTTCAAACAAGGCCATAATAGGGCAACATTTTTCACCAAGCTAGACTTATCCAGCGCTTACTATCGCCTCGAGTCGGCTGAGATTTTTTTTTTAAACACGGCTGTTACTGTTGATTGAGAGGTTGATTACATATATAAATGTGTTTGCTATTGTTTACTTTTGCCAACCATCCCCGAAAATAAACAATATCACGGACTCTAGACTACTTAATTTTTTTTAGAGAAGAAGTGGGATGTGGGATACACTCTGAGCATAGTGAAATGCTCACCTTTCGGTGAGCTGTCAATTGACGCTGGCAGGGCCAAAAGAAATACAACATCTGGCAACACTGCTCTCATCGTCGTTGGTTGGCCTCACCGTCATTCTTCCTCTTTCTTCAACTGGCCATCAGACAGGTAAAACGTGGTTAGCGGTCCTCCGTTGTCGCGGGACAATTCATGCGTGTGGTCAACGAGCGGAACTTCACACTAACTATGCATAAACCAATTTTATACCCCGTTCACATTACAGCCTATATCACGTAATATAGGCTGTCTTGCAATGAGCACTCATACATAGGATTTCCAGTGAAAACTAGATGTATGAATGCTCATTGCAAGACAGCGTATATCACGTGATATACGCTGTAATGTGAACGGGATATTAGACTAAGTTCGTATTCTCCCTTTATATACCAAGCTATGCGTCGGTCAGGAGAGTTGCAATTTAGCGTAGCTTTTATACTATTTAGGATTGAATATTTTTTTAGTGTAACTGAGCTGATCGTTTTCCGTTTTTGTTCTAATCTTATAGCGAATTCGATTATTCAGTGCCAACATTTCAAAGGGGCTTAATTGCTTTTGTAAACAATGGCTTTAGTTGTCGATTTATCGCAAATAAAAGCCCACCCCTCTAAATTACCAATGGGACAGGAAACATTCATCTACCTGCTGGTGTCATTCGTTTCTATGAGTGAGCTTTCATTCGCGAGAAATCGACGACGAAAGTCATTGTTTACAAATGCAATTACGCCCCTTTGAAATGTTGGCACTGTATTATTGAAAGTGCGAAACCCAAATTTTTTGTCAGTGCGAACCTCAACCTGAGCTAGGTTTTAAAAACAAACGAGCAAACTAACGTTTGTCAGAAAACAAGCAGACCCAATCTTGATACCCGATCCAGGTTGGAACTGAATAATAACCGAATTAGCTTTTAGTGTTTTGTTGACATTCGCGTCATGTTAAGAAGTTGGTTGTGTTGTTTGTTAACAGGAAAGTTAGTATTTATTTTAGTGAGAAATAAATTCCGCTCTGCTTCGTCTATACCTATAGGGGGTAAGTATTGTTTTCCACAACAAGAAAATACGAAATTCAACGGCTTGAAGGCGTTGGTATAATTTCCCATAAATTCTCTACCGGAAAGCCCAAGCAGCATGGTATCTTGTGCCACCTGAGGGCAGTGTACGGATCATAATAAATTGCCTCTGTGGAAAGCGCTCCAAGCTCCAGGCACGGGAAAAATGTAGGTTATAACCTTAGCCCTCCTCTTGGACCAACCTTTGCCAGCTCGTAATCAGTAACTATAAATTTGCAAACGGTGGAATCCCCATCGGCACGGGGAAGAATTCGCCGGGATCGGAGTTGCTTTATTATGCGTCATAATAGTCAGCAGTTAAAATTTGGCCTCTTTCGACTGGGTGGATTCGTGGGCGTACGATTAAATGGAATTTTCCAAACGGTTCAAAGAAGGCATTCCACTGTGAGAAGAAAAGCTGACAACGGTTCCGTGCCCATGATGCTTGTTGCGGAGAGGCGGAGATGAAATTGTATTCAGCATCAGCCTCAGTCTGAATGGATTAACGGCTGCGGATTATTGGTTTAATTACTTTGTTTTAGCTCGTTCTTCGGAATGGGCTGAGGGATGATGGCTTTCTGTTGAATACCACTGAAATCAATTCTGTTTCGTGCGGCTACGACGTGCT